TCTTCGAAATTAAGTACATCTAGCGCAGATAGCCCTCAAGTAGCTTTTCGCTAAAATCAACAGAATGTAAGTTACAAGACGATAAATGTAACTGCCTTTCTTATATTACCTTAACACTGTTGTACGGAATGAATATTTTTCAGCTATGTGAAAAACTGAAAATGAAGCACGGTATATGTTATTTTTGTTATTTTCTTAACTTCATTTTATTTTGGTCAAACCAGAAAAATGCATGTTTCCTATTTATTGCTCATTTTTATATATATATATATATATATATATCTGTAGGATTTTTAAAATCAAAGTCGTCAATTTGAAACCACAGGGAATATTCCGATTGTCATTATCTTCCCGTTGGGTCAGCGGTAAGTTTACGGACTTGCAACGCTAACATTCGGGGTTAGATTCCACGCAGTGGATATATCGTAAATAGTCCATTGTCTAGCTTTGCCCTAAAAATAACAGCAATCAATGGTCATCAATTTTGGTTATTTATTAGGCGTACGTACATATTTTTAAGTCCTGTTAAATTACCTTATGAATCATCTTGCTCTCTTCCTTGTTTATACTGTTCATGATATTTTCATTAAAATAATTTTTCCACTTTTCACTTGAGAGCGTTGCTCCGGCTAGGGTTTGGATATGGTTTCAGATACTGTTGTTATCCTAAGCGCTCTACTATACGAATTTTTTCGTTTCCTTGGAGATATATTGAAATATTTTTTATCCAAACATTATTTCCTTTGGCTGCACATCTTTTAACTATCTCTCTATATGAATAAAGATAAAAATACGAAACCGTATAACCCGAGCGCTTTCGAAAGGTGGGCCTTTCTTCATCAGGGATAAACTGGAAAAGGTTGAGTGACATCATTGTAGAACACCATGACAACCCAGAAATGAGTGTATCGATTAGATTTCAAAAGATTGTTGCAGATGCGACTTTCCGTTTTGCAACAGGAAAGGAACGAGAATGTTAGATGTAAAAAAGGTCAGAAAAGGTTTTGTTTTAAAACATATCAAGGGAACTGCATTTGGTAATTGTAAAGTAATATAAACATTTTTTTTTGCTAAGTACATACAACCAAAGTAATAAAAAACAAACATGAAAAAATATCATGAATAAATATGTATTAAGAAAGGTAAGGGGTAAAAATTAAGAACACACCACACGTGAGAAAGGAAAAAGATTACTTGCCATGGAATTAATCAATGGTCGAAGATTACTGATTCCAGGGTCTAAGTTTATTCCACAATGTTGAACTGTATTTAAAGTGGCAATTCAATAGACTTCGTTCATATTTCTACCATCTTCAGTTTTGAAAACTGTTTCAATACCTATGAGGATCGTGTTATTAATAGAATGAATAGCTTAGTTGAAATGTTGGCCTACAGGAAGTCTTATTCGGTGGTAACAGAAAATTTAAAGTTGTTGAAATACTTTCTAAGTGTCCTTTGTGGATCTTTCTAACATACTAGTGATTGTATTTTTTGACACTGTATGAAGTAAATTGTATTGTGTATTGTGCAAGTAAACTATTTTATACATTTAAAGTATTTTCGGTTGTATTTGTTTGGAAAGAGTTGAAAATGTTCATGAACTTGCAGGTTAGACAACGAGCTTTATTATAAGGTTAACAACTATTTGTTGATAGGGTGTAATTAACTTTTATATGAACAAAGGTATCTATAAGATGTCTTCTGCTGTTCCGGAATGAAAGAACGTGAACATAAGGAAAAATATGTCTCAGGTAATCATCCAGTAATATTAAATAGTTGTTTTTCCTCAGAATACGCGAAACGTTTCTGAATTTAAAGTCGTATGTGATAACAAAAAGAATTATGTTTCGCGAATTCTGAAAAAAGAACAAAACAACAACAAAACATTTACATCTATCAGAACTGAATGATCGTACGTTGTCTCCTTCCGGAAAAGCAGAATCTTAATGGTATCCATGTTCATGCAAAAGTGAATTACACCCCCACCAAAGAATGATTATTGTCATGTGTGTTTTAAAGCTCATTATACAACCTTCAAGTTCATGAAACTACCAACTATTTTTCAGAAAGCTGTGTTATAGAAAATAATGTAAGTTTTTACACTGTAGTGAGGGGGATTACCTATAACGTGGTATTTACTAGTTTTGTTTACAACTTGTAAGCCTATTTGCTCTTTAAGAAATTATTTTATTGTGTCCATTTAAGTGTAACCCAGCACTCTGTTAAACAATTATCTGTCACACTATACCGTTAAAATATTCAGGACATCTGACCTTTAAAACTTGACATTCATTTTGATGTAGTACTTATACGTGACACGCTCGAACATCCTTATATCTTCGGCCCGGCATGGCCAGATGGTCAGGGCGCTCGATTCGCAATCTGCGGGTCGCGGGTTCGAATCCCCGTCACACCAAACATGCTCGCCCTTTCAGCCGTGACGGTCAAACCCACTATTCGTTGGTAAAAGATTAGCCCAAGAGTTGGCGGTGAGTGGTGATGACT